CCAAGGTTTCATCCCAGGGGGTGAAGGAGGAAATGATATCGGATACTCAAGTTCCTTGCCATAGATGTCTTTGACTAATTCCATAACAAAAAACACTCTTTTATAAACACCATCCTGACTCCTTTATCTCAGATTCCACACCTTGTTCTAGGGAAATGCCAAGCCCCTTTCTCGAGAAGACTGGGTTTTTTAAAAAGTGAAAAAAAAAAAAAATGGGAAAAAGTTAGTGTAAAATAAGGATTTTTAAAATATCAAATTGGTAGAGGACTATATCATTTATTGCCCAACCTGGAATACTTCTGAAAGTAGAAAGGAACGCTAGTCATGATGACCTCAGTCAACAAGCCTAGGCCAGGTCTAGTCCAGAGCACCGGCCTGCACGAGGTGATCTTCCTACCACTGTACTCCCATTCCCAGCACCTGCCGGCTACATATAGCTGGGGGACCCCAGGCAGAGTGAGGCGCCTCAATGAGTTCTTGATTCTTAAACACAATCTCCTGTTGGTATCAAGATTTGGAGTTAGGCGGGGTTGTGAAACGGAAGACAAGAGATAATCATTTATTATCTCTGAACGACACAAAAAAATCTTCCCACCCTCGAGTCTAGCTTTAGAAGGTCTCCATGGAATTTTTTAAAAATATCGATTTATTTTTTTGGTCACGTCATGCGGCATGGGGGAATCTTAGTTCCCCTACCAGGGACCGAACCCATGGCCCCTGTAGTGGAAGCATGGAGTCTTATACACTGGACTGCCAGGGAAGCCCCACCCATGGAATTTTTTAAAAATTAGAACATTGGGCTTCCCTGGTGGCGCAGTGGTTGAGAGTCTGCCTGCAGATGCAGGGGACACGGGTTCATTCCCTGGTCCAGGAAGATCCCACATGCCACAGAGCGGCCGGGCCCGTGAGTCATGGCCGCTGAGCCTGCGCGTCCAGAGCCTGTGCTCCGCAACGGGAGAGGCCACAACAGTCAGAGACCCGTGTACCGCAAAAAAAAAAAAAAAAAAGAACATTGAGGGGATACCCCTCCACTGACCTGATTTTCCGTGTTTGTCAACAGTGACGTCTACTTGTTGTAGACAGTGAGCATGATGATGCTACAAGGTCTTCTCTCAGGCAGTAGATAAGCTTCTGTTTTCAATCCTCTCCCTCCCAGACCTATCAGTGGCATCTGACACAAGTGATGGCCCTCCCCTTGCAGTACCTTCTTGGCTTCGGGGACCCTCCCCTCTCCCCTGGCTCTTCCTCTTCAACCTTCTCTTTTGGCTCTTCCTCGTGCTCCCAAATTTTCACATTACAGCATCTTGGGACTCAGTCCTTGGCCCTTTTCTCTATCTCTCCTCACTCCCCTGGGGCGCTCATACAATCTCATGGCTTTAAGTACCATCTCTACCATCTGATTAGGGCTCCAGCCTGGGCATCTCCTCTGAACTCCAGCTTTATAGCCATCATGCAGGCAACCCTGGGATTCCTAGGGATAACTCTAGCCTTCGGAAGATAAAAACCTCAGAGTCATCCTTGACTTTCCTCTGTTTTACATCCCGTGATGAAATTCTTTGGGGTCTACTTTTTCTGCACTTACATGCATTGTCATTTGTGTGGATCTGACTCTCGATTTTCTGTTTTGTTCTATGGGGTCTAATTCCCTATTTCCACCCCCCCACCACATTGTCATACTTATTATTGTTTTATAATAAGTTTCTGTTTGGTAGAGCACCATATCCCTCCTGATTCTTCTTCAAGAGTGTCTTGACTCTTCCTAGCCTTTGCTCTTCCATATACATCATCAAGGAGACAAGGACCTTAGAACATTATTGCTCTATTTATTGCCCACCCAACTTACAGATTAGTGATGTGTATAGTTTAAATTCGACCTTATCTTTGATCCCATGAGGCGTCATCATTATTGTTTTCACAGTCGAGGTTCATACAGATTCTCCCACTGATTTATCACTTTGATTATTCTTCATTTCTTTTTAAAACTATGGTTTTCCATATGGGGTCCTATCTGAAGCACATAATTAGAATTCCTTTAGTGAAAGATTCAGTTGGTGGCAAACTCTCAGTTTTTGCCTATAAATATCTTTATTTTATCCTCATGATATTCCTAAAGGATATTCTTCCTGGGTATAGAATTCTGGAGAAGTAATTGTTTTCTTTTCAGCACATGAAGATAACATGCCATTTCTAATTGCTATGAGAAAGCAATGGTCAATCTAACAGCCTTTTTATTGAAGGTAACTCGTCTTTTGTTTTCTGACTGCATTTGAGATTTCTCTTGTGTCTTACATAGTCTATGATTTCACGATGATGAATCTAGATGTAGATTTATTTTATTTTTTTCTGCTTGGGTTTCATAGGGACTCTTCAGTCTGTGGGTTGGAATTCTGTAGCAGATTAGGAAACCATCAGTCATTATATTTCATTCATTAACTTTTCTCTTTCCTCTTTGTCCAGTATTGAAATGCAACATATGTTAAGTCTCATTCTACCAATATTTCCAAATCTCTTAATTTCTCTTCTCTATATTTTATTTTTTGCCTCCCCATGCTGCATTATGGATAATTTCTTCTAACCTATACTGCAGTTCACAAATTCTCTTCAGCTGTGTCTTGTTTGTTGTTTTATATATATGTACATTATAATACATAGAACATTCATATACGTGTAGAATGTATTATATATTCATACATATGTATTTCATATTCATGTATTTATTTCTAGCAGATTTATTGGTTGGTTTTCAAATCTTCTAAGCTGTTTTTTTCAATAGTTTCTTATTCTTTGCAGATTTTTCAAGCTTGATGTTTTAACCTGTAACTGGTATTTCCAATATCTTTCGTCTTTGCTGTCCTCATTGTTCTTTCTCAAGGTGCTTTAGCTTCTTGTGTAATTGGTTGTATTCTCTTCGTTGCCCTTGAAAATTCTTTTGGGGGATTTCTTGAGACCTACCATGAATCTGCCTTCCTCCAGAGAGAACTTGTATTTGCTTCTCCTGGGCACCTGGGAGCACTGCTAGTTCCAGACCAAGTCCACAACCTGAGGTTCCCGATCCTCTCCTGTGATGAACCAAGCTGTAAATCCACCATGAGGACTGCCCACAGCCACTTCTTGGGGACAGGGCGTTTGTTTCCCCTTTTCTCCCTATTCTACTTAGAAAATACCAATTTTCTCTGAAGTCCCAAAGTTGGGGGCGGGGTGTGGCTAGTTATTCATCTTCATTCTGAGAGTGTAGCCCTTTGGTGTTCCAATTTAATTTGGTGAGGACTTCCTGCTAGAAGCTCTCTTTGAGCCAGTCATACCCCCTGATTTCCATCCTCCTTGCCCCATAAAGACCACCAAAGCCCAAGCTCAAATTCGCCTAGATGGGAAACTGTCCTCAAGGTAAAAGCAGCATTAGTGCCCAGATACTTGTTTCCTTGGTCCCATTTTCCTTTAGAGTTCAGTCTAGTATTCCTGACTATCCTGTCAGTCCTTCAAGCTTTAAGAAGATTGAAAAATATATTTATCCACAATATTTTGCTACTTTCAGCAAGATGGGACGCTACAAATATCCTAACCTACCACTGCTGGAGACGGAAGCCTGTTTTACTTATCTGTTTCCTTATTTACGCACGTGTTTGTTATCTGTCAACTCCTTAAGGGACAGATTATTTTAGTTTAGTTTCTACTCTATGCCCAATGCCTAAGAATAGTGTCAAGCACATAGCTGGCACCCGTGAAATAGTTTCTGAATGAATGAATAAACTCTTTGACAACATTATGCATATTGTGGGAGGCTTGGAAGTGCTAAATTAAACTTTATACCATTCCAGCTTAACACACGGCAACTCACCACATATTCTTGAATAAATTCCACTCTTCTTAAGCCATGAGGAGATCGCACGTGTGGGCTTATAGCTCTGGCAAGGCACCCAGCACCTCTGCACTTCAGAAGTGTTGAAGCAGATGGTGCCCATGCATCTTTCACTTTTTAAACTTCTGAGATTAGGACACGGTTCCCGTCCTCAATGATCACAATGGCAATAATAATGGAAATAGGAACCTCAGGCCAGGGTCAGTGTTACCTCTGGCCAGTGGGTCCAGAAAATTATTATGATTTCAGCCCCAATTTCTGGAATAAGCAATCCCTCCCCAACCCCACAACTAACGTGTAGTCCTGCTTGGAAATGCTGTAAGGACAGAGGTTCCCATCTCGAATACTAGAAGGAGTCTACCCACAGACAGGGGGCAGGTGTCTTTGTACCCCGAGCTCAGTCCTCTGAGTTTCACCTTCCCGAGGTCTCCTCGCTTCAGTTCCTGTTGTCTCGCCCCTCGTGGCTCCCAGGAATGACTTACTACCACTTCACTGATCAAGTCCAGGTATGAATCACAGACCCATTCCTCACCTTCTCTGACACAGTGGAGACCATCTGGGTCTCTCCAAAGGGCTCTTCCAAACTCTCAGGGAGAAGACAGGGAAATAAACACAGCAACTACAGGGAGGCTAAAGAATCAGGCTTACAGAGCCCGAGCCGGCTGTCTTCTGTGCCTTCCAGAAGCTGTTCTTTTCCACCAGCCACCAGGGAGAGCCTGCCTGCAGCTCCAACAGGCTTCCACCATTTCTACAGCCGCCTTCCCTGCACAGGTAAGACCTTCTTCCAAGGTCTCCATCTGCCGCGATGTGGGAGACACCTTCTCACAACCCACCCCTGGAAACTCCATCTTCAAACATCTGTGGTCAAGGCTGGGAAGACAGAGCCCCCTTCCATGGCCACTGAAGGCCACTGACCCTCCCAGGGCTGAGGTTCTGTCTGAGGGAATCACCTTCCCCGCTTCGGGTAACCAAGAGCAGCAATGGCCTGGCTATCACGGGAGATGCTGTCCCTCTAGAAGGACTGTGGCTTCGTCTTCACTAGTCCCTCACCGTCCCCACAGCATAACAGGCTAACACCCCCAGCATTCACACAGCAGGATCCACACGCACACGTCATGAGCAGGTGTTTCCGCCAGGAAATTACCATGAACAAGATGGAGGCGAAGTTCACCAAGTAACCTGGGAGACGATCTTTCCAGGTCAGCTTGTCTTCATCATCCTGGGGAGAAACAGGGGAACAGTGACCATCAGATGCCACAAATATCAGATATAGAATGTCTCTCAATTTTCCATAAATGTGAATATTATTAATCATTCGTCACTCTGTTTAGGTATTTTTCTAGTCTGTGATGCCTTACCCTACACATCAACAACAGCCCTCCTAATTTTGTGATTTTTAGGTAGCCTGGAAAATCTGTGGTGAAAAGAGGACAATATTTGATTTCAGCCTCATACTGGGCTGAAGTTTTAGTTCAACCACTCATCAGCGGTGCGATCTTCGATGTGTCTCTTAACGTTTCTGACCTTCTATTTCTTCATCTGTAAAGTGGTCACACTCGTGAACCCCATCCTGACTTATGCACAGGATGGTTTTATCTGTTTCATTTTTATTTTAATGAGAAGCAGGTGAAAACAAGAGACAGATGACAGATACAAATGACCACAGGGCAACATCCTAAAACAGATCATCATTTAAATCAAACATCAACCACTGACCTTAGATCCTAAGTGTATAAATTACCCACAATTCTTGTTGTTCAAAGAACCTGTATGTATTGTCATCTGTTTCCTCCAAAACAACTGTTCTCCCCTGGTCACAAATGCAGACAGTTCAAGATGCAGGTTAGGCTGATGCCTTGCTGTCAGTCTGGCTGAGAACCAGACTGGATCCAGTCCACAGGCTGCTCTCCTTGGGACCGCCATATCCCTGCCCACATCCTCCTTCAGCAACCCCTAAGGACCCTCATCTGGTAGGGTGATGCCAACAAGGTGTGAGTGGTTAAAACCTCTGCCGATTAGTATCCACATAATGTTAGCCCAGGCACCTGATTTATCTGAACTGCAGTTCTTTAAAATTATAATTGATACAGTGTCCTGCTGACACTGTATCAATTCAAGGTTGCTGTGGAGACATCTGAAGCCACGCTGGGGAGGATGCCAGGAAAATGGCAAAGCCCTCCATGCTGGCGAGGTCGGGCCCCCTGCATTTCTGTAGCGTGTCTGAATCTAAGTCAGCAAGTGCGAGTTCCAGGGCCTGCTCGGTTTCTCTCTTCCCTCCTCGCCACAATTTCAGAACACACCTGATCTAGCTCTAGCAACAGCGCCATCTAGTCTTTGAAAGCCTGTGCTGTAAGCGAAGGGCCTTCTTGGCCTCGAGGGTTTCTTTCTAAAAATCTCTGTGTGCCCACTGTGTGCAGACCTTAGGGCCAGGCACAGTGGGGAGACAGAGAACAGTGGACATGGTCACTGCCCATGGGGGGCTCCCAGGCTAATGAGATGGTGACACCCACACACCAAAAAAGCTTGCCAGTTTGGGAATCCAGGCTATCCTGGGAGTGAGCCTGCGGGGGATTTGAGGAAAGGAATGGTGTGTCTTTCTCATGGCGTGCCTGGAGCTGAGCACAGGGTTGAGCAGGCTTAAAGGGGGTGGAAATGAGCGTTAAGGCTGCAGTCATTCGGTAATGAGCGCTTTCATTTACTCGTGATGTCAACAGGGATGCTCGGTTCCTCCTAGACCCTGATAGGATCAGGTCTCCAGACTCTGTGCCCAACAGACTTTCTATCACACAGTGAGAACAAGGTCACTGCAGGTCGTGACCATGCACAGGTGGAACTATAAAAACCTATTACTATTAGGACTGAAGTGAGTCTTCCAAATGAGGCCAAACATCAAAAGGGACTAGCATGCCTTTCTCTTTTCTTCCAGTATTCATTCTTAGTTTCACTCACGCTAGTGGTATTTTCCTTTAAGATTCTGATGAGGAAAACTGAAGACGGGCAGGTAGATGATAACTCCGTAGGGAATATGAAAAGAAGGAGAGGGGTGTGTGGTGGAGCTCGTCCCGAGGCCTCTCTCACTACAATTAAGGTTTGGATGACTCTCTGACTCTTTTCCTGCCCTCTGGCCTGGGGATGAGAGGTTCTGCCTCAAAGATCAGCAAACCAGGTGTGCTCAGAAATACCAGCGGTGTGGAGGGAAGGGGGAACTCCAGTTACCGGTTCTGTGTCACCAGTTCCTCCCCAGTGGGGCTCCCTGAGTGGCGAGCAGGGCAAGGAGAGGTAAAAAAAAAAAACCTGTGCTTGGCCCGTGAAATGAGAAATGGAAATGGAAAGGGCGAGAAAGCAGTCAGTAAGGATGAGCCCAAGCTCAGAGTGGTCCTCAGGGACGAGGCGGACAGACCTGGAAGAAATGGGGGGAAGGGAAACACAAGCAGACAGCAGGAAACATGGCCCCGGATGAAACGGGCTCAGAAAGGAGTACAATCGCAGAGGATGACTAATGAACCCGAGGGAGGGGCCCGGCGGCTGAGATGTTTTAGCTAAGGTTCCTGCCAGATGTCGTCCACCTCCTTCAGGCCAGGGACCAAGCGGGATGACGTGTCTTCAGACCAGCCTCTACCCCACAGTGACAACTCTGTCCTGGAGAATGAGTTTTGGTTCTGTTCTACTCAACGAACGTGGTCTGAGTGCCTGGGATGGGCCGGGCTCTGTGCTGGATGCGGAGGACACAGAGGGGAGAAGTCTCTACCCTGCCCAGAAGGAGCTCCATTGCCACCCACAAAACACGGAGAAGGATTTCAGAGCTCATCCTCGTGAGGAAGGTGGCGTCATTATTTTGCATAAAAATGAGGCATAACTAAAAAGCAACTGAATTCGACGTCCTCTCAAAGCAACTATATACATGTTCTGGTATTTGCTGAAAAATCACTCTCCACCCACGTTTACACCAAAGAGCCCTTTTTTCTAGAAGTGATAGCTTCCAACATACACACAGTTCTCCTACATTCAGACACTTTCCAAACACAAGCGCTGAGAGAACACAGAGATTACGGACTGCCTTCCAAGCTCCCGAAGTTACTAGTAAAGATGACAGTGAGTCAAGTGGCCTTTATGTATAATAACTGGCTCTGGTAATGCAAGCTAATTAGAATGTCCAATCACTGGCACATGAAAGACGTGCAGATACATGGCAAAATACCATCCAGTTAACTACGTCACATAACCAGTTTATGAGATGGTAGAAGAAAAGTAGAGCTTGGAACCAGAACTTCTGAATTCAACTCTTGGTTCTAATACTTACTAGTCAAGTGACCTTGGGAAATTCCCAGAACCTCCATTTCCTCATCTGTAAAGTAATTATATTCCTTAACTGTAGAATGTATAAATGGTAACACCTATTGCACCAAATTGCTATGCGTTTTATATTAATTAACCAACCCGAATTGGGAGGGGCCAAGCCAGTGCACCTGCAAACACAGGTAAGCGAGAACTCTCAGCCCCTCCCTCTCCTTTTAACACAGAGATGATAACACTTGTCCCACCGACGTGGCAGAGGTCATGTGCGGTCCCATGGTTGAACGCCTGGGAGAGAGCTTTGTCAACTCTAATGCTTCACACAAAATTCAGGTCTCATCAGCTTCACGATAATTTCAGAAGCAGGTGGTTAGGAAGCACTCGGCTAATTCACCATTGTTAAGCCATGAGCCTAGCTGTCGTCCATGCTTGCGTCCTTGTCCCTGGACTACGGCTCCCACTTCTGAGTCTCCAAACAGGAAGCAGCACGACGACACTCACATAAAACCACACAAGTGGCCTTTTGACAAACTGAATGGCTGGAAATGCAATCACTGTGAACGCAGTAGATGAGACAACTATTCAAGCAAACCCCTTGGAGGGCAACCTTGAAAAGTGGCCAATCATCCCTGAGTTGGTATTTTTTTCAATTAAGGTATGAATTTACATATAGTAAAATTCACCTTTATTAGTGTGCCGTTCTGCGAGTTTTGATAAACACGTATGTACTGTCATGTAACCATGACCACAATCAAGATACAGGACCATCACCCCCTCAATACTGCCCGCATGTCTCTCTGTGGTCCATCACCTCCCTTAATCTCCAGCTCCTGGCAAGCCCTGTTCTCTGTCCCTTTAGCGTTGCCTTTTCCAAAATGTCATGGAAGTAAATTCACACAGTATGGACCCTTCTGAGTCTCACTTGGTGCACTTAGTGCACTCTTCTCACTTAGTGCACTGCATCTGGGATTCACCCCTGCTGCATTCCCAGAAATGTGTTCCTTCTTATGGCTGAGTACTATTTCACTGTATGGACGTGCCATGTTTCATTTAACCACCCCTGGCTGACAGATGTTTGGATTGCTTCCAGTTGTTGGCAATTATGAAGAAAGCTGTTGGAAGTATTTCTGTACTGGTTTTGGTGTGAGTATAGGTTTTAGGGAAATACCAAGTAGTGGAAATGCTGAATCATGGGTTGAGTGTATATCTGGTTTATAAGCAACCGCCAGACTGTTTTCCAAAACGGCCGTGCTATTTTTGCATTTTCACCAGGAACATATGAGAATTCCTTCCTCTACTTTCTTTGCTTTAAATAAACTTTTCTATTTTAGGATAGTTTTAGATTTACAGAAAAGCTTCAAAGACGGTACAGGGTATGTGTGTGAGTGTGTGCATATATGTATGTGTGTATATATATATATACACACACACACACACACACACACACACTCTGCACCCAGTTTTCCTATTACGTTAGTATGAGTACATTTTTTGCAACCAATGAACCAATTTTGTACATTATTGTGAATTAAAGTTCACACTTTATTTGGATTTTCTTAGTTTTCACTTAATATCCCCTTTCTGCTCCAGTCCCATCCAAGATTCCACATTATATTTAACCACCAAGTCTTCTTAGGCAACTCTAGACTATGACGGCTTCTCAGGCTTTTCTTGTTGTTGACGACCTTGTCATTTTTGAGAAGCATTGGTCACGGATTTTGTAGAATTTTCTTCAATATGGGCTTGTCTGAAGTTTTTCCCCTAATTAGACTGAAGTTATGGGTTTGGGACAGGAAGACCACAGAGGTAAAGTATCATTTTCATCTCATCATATCAAAGGAACAGGCTAGAATATGACCTGTCACTCATGATGTTAACCTTGATCGCTTGGTGGAGGTAAGTGTTCGTCAGGTTTCCCTGCTGTAA